TAAAGCAACAAAACCAACCTTAATTGAATTCAACAAAGTAATTTCTGCTTCTTCTGCCAGGTGTGCTGTGATCACAAGTATCCCTGCAGGTGGTGTCGGTGAGTTTGATTGTAAGGGGATGGACGGTCGCTTCGTCAACATAGTCATCCCAGGACGGGATGAGTTCCTGAGTCTGTGCGAGGTGGAGGTGTACGGCTCTCGTCTGGATTAAGTGAAGAACTGGAGAAGTTCACAATGTAAAAGAAAACCAAAAATCACTTCTTTCTAAAATCATCTCCTAGAATGACAGTGATTGCATTTTGTGAATGTTTAGAGCTCTACTTGCTTACATATTATAGTGTTTTGGTGCTTTCTTTGGTCACCACCTGGTCCAGGACATAATTCTATGTTATCAATACTGATATACAATAAAATCATTGGAACATTATTTTGGTCTGTCTATCGTTATTGGTCTGGATCAAAATCTTTTTTTACATTTAAAGTTTCTTTGCCCCAACTAAGAGCTTTTTTAGAACTTGAGTCCACCAACGCCCCTTGATCTGATCATCAACACTCAAGCCCACTTATAGTTGTATTTTTTTCAAAGTTTTTTAATGTTTTATTGTATTTATTCTTTACATTTTTTTTGTTTTTATTTTTTTTATTTTTTATCTAATCTGTGTAGATTCCCAAGCTGTATCAGTTTAAAAATGTTTATCTCCACAGATTTCTTTCCGTCTATGCGAGAAGGAAGAGTCTGCACAAAATGAAGAGATCTATGGATACATCACTCAACACCCATATGAAACAGAACTATAAACAGATTTACTTTTTCTTTATGGATATTTTACAAATCACTCCCCTTTTAAACTTTATTCTTTTTTTACTGTCATATAGTATTTCATACCTGTTTTTCATTTATTCTCTTATTTTTTTTATAACTATAATGATCATATAAACGTGTGCCTCGGAAATAATTGTTTACATTAATCGTGACCAAAACGTTTGAGACCCGGCCACTAGCTCGCTAGCACCAGAAGCTAACAACAACAATCTCTGGGACCGGTGCGCTCTCTCTCTCTCGCTCGCGCACGCACACAAAATGGCTCGTTCCACACACACACAGAGCCGAGCTTGAATGAAACACAGAGACCCAGACGTACTTGTAGTGTACTGTATCATATTATTTTCGAATCAATCATTTTCAAAACCATTTTTCCTCCTGGTCTCTCGTGCCCCCCCTGTCATGCCTCTGCGCCCCCACACTTTGAGAAACACTGCCTTAGAGGATCAGCAAGGACAGCACAGCAGCATCGCATCAATGTTAGAGTCTACGCTAGAGATATCCAACTAACTAAGGTAAGGAATCCAGATATTACACAAGTAAAGTGTTAAGAGAGTGAAATGTTGCTTTACGAATTTCAACACTTGATACTGTCACCTTGATTCCAACTGAATTAGTTGACTAAAAGTTGACTAAAATGTAATGATTTTTCATCAACTAAAACTGGACCAAAACGTTTTGAGTTGTCGTCTACTAAAACTAAACTAAAATTATGAAGGATAAAAAGGACTAAAATCGAAAATAGCTACCAAAATTAACACTGTTCTACATCCATGAGAGTTAACAGGAGGCCCAAATACTTCAGACTGACACTATTGCAATCTTTGTTTTCAGAGATGCACAAGCTGCACCCAAAACCATTGGCATCATCTCTGAGGGACAATAGGTTAGAAACAAGTTATTGTCTGTAGCAAATCCTGCTGCTTCCTCGATGCTCTCAAATGGAATATCTCAAAACATATTCAGAGTCTTCATGAAGCTGGAACCAAAATAAATGACGAACAAGGTCAAGATGCTCTATGACCAACCCTAGAGTCTAGTTCAGGGTTTCCATTCGTATATGTTATTCATGAAGCAGATTCTGTTGGATGTTGTGTTCCATTGATTATCAGTACATTGCTCTCTTAATACATTTATAGAATCATAATAACCACTTTCTTTTAGTTCCTTTTCTAGCCAGTTAAGGCCTTCCACGCCCACAGTATGAATTTACGAAAAGGATTTTAGGTAACTCATCTGTGTAGATGCCCAAGCTGTATCAGTTTCAAAAAACAAATCTCCTTCCTCTTCTATGCGAGAAGGAAGAGTCTGCACACAATTCTTTAGACTTAAACTATTGCAAAGTTATTGTTATCTGAACTGCAAAAGCTGCACCCAAAACCCTTGGCATCATACTTGAGAGTTTATGCACAAGTTTCCATGTGTAGCAAACAATGCTGCTATTCTCCTGGGCTTCCTTCAATGGGTTGTAATATCCCAACACAATGAATTGGACATTTGAATACAGAACGTTTTCATGGAGTTTGACCCGAAAGATCGTAGACATCCTCTTAGTTACTTTAAAGTTACGGAGGATCATCCTCAGTTCAGCTTGAATATTTGTTGTTTTCATTAGATTTCTAGACAGTTTGGCCTAGCCCTATTGTTTGAAGCAGAATTGTATTTACTGTATCAAATCAAATCAAATCAAATCAAGTTTTATTTATAAAGCACATTTAAAAGCGATTTTTGGTCGAGCCAAAGTGCTGTACATGTAATAAAAACACATTACTACAATCACAATAAAAGACAATAAATTACAACAGATATATATTTAAAAAAAACACAGGGAAAAGTCAGGAGTCGTGCTCCGCTCTAACTAGAAGGCCAGAGAGAAGAAGTGTGTTTTTAGTGTAGATTTAAAAACCCTTAGGGTCTGGGCCGACCTCACATGGAGGGGCAGAGTGTTCCAGAGCCTAGGGCCAGCTGCTGCGAAGACTCGGTGCCCTCGGGTTTTAAGCCTGGTCTTGGGCACTACCAGCAGCAGCTGGTCAGCAGACCTTAAAGCTCTGGCTGGGGTGTAGCGCTGGAGGAGTTCAGCTATATAGGCCGGAGCCAGCCCATTTAGTGCTTTAAAAACAAATAAAATAATTTTAAAATCAATTCTGAACCGAACTGGAGGCCAGAATTGGGGTGATGTGGTCACGCTTTTTGTGGCCAGTCAGCAAACGTGCAGCTGCGTTTTGGACTAGCTGCAGGCGTTTAATTGAGGCCTGGTCCATACCCACATACAGAGCGTTGCAATAGTCCAGTCTTGAGGTAACAAAGGCGTTAATAACCCTTTCTAAGTCATTAAAAGATCAATACGACTTGGTTTTGGCCAATAGTCTTATTTAAAAAAAGCAGGATTTGACTACGGTGCTGACCTGCTTGTCGAATTTAAAAGTGCTAGTGAAGGTCACTCCAAGGTTCATGACAGAGGGGAGGATGTTTTTATTGAGAGAGCCCAGAATATCAACCGGAGAGGCTGGAGGTTGGGGTCCAAAGAAGATGACCTCAGTCTTGCTCTCGTTGAGGTTGAGAAAGTTTTTGCTCAGCCAGGATTTTATCTCTGTTAAGCAGTCCATCAACTGCTGTAGTGAGTGTTTGACATTTGCTTTGAGAGGCAGATAGATCTGTACATCGTCGGCGTAGCAGTGGAAGGGAATATTGTGTTTAGTGAGAATTGAACCTAGGGGCAGTATGTACAGTAGAAAAAGGATGGGGCCCAGAATCGAGCCTTGGGGAACCCCACAGGTAAGAGGGGCTTTGGCAGAGGAGAAGGCACCTAGCTGTACTGAGAAGCTACGGTCTGTCAGGTAGGACCTGAACCATGCAAGGGCAGAGTCTGTGATGCCAGCGGACTGTTCAAGCCGTGACAACAGGATGCTATGGTCCACAGTGTCAAAGGCAGCTGTCAGGTCTAACAGCACCAAGACAGCTGGGCTACCTGAGTCGGCGGCTAGGAGCAGATCATTAAAAACTCTTAAAAGGGCTGTTTCAGTGCTGTGCATGGGTTTGAAGCCAGACTGAAACTTTTCATGGATTCCATGCATGGTTAAAAAAGACTGCAGCTGGGCGTAGACTACTCGCTCCAGGGCTTTAGATAAAAAAGGTAGCTGGGAGATGGGCCTAAAATTTGCGAGAATGGAGGGGTCGAGATTTTTCTTTTTAAGTAGTGGCTTAACCACGGCATGTTTGAAGGCAGCTGGGACACATCCTGAGCTAAGAGAGGTGTTTATAAGTAATAAAATATGTTTCTAAATGGCAGTCTATATATTTTATCGACAATAACGAAGCTAGCACCAGACGAAATAAACATTTTCCAACATCAGTCGAAGTTGCTGATCCCGGATGTTATTGTCACGGTTTGCTTCTCTCCGTGTGGAGAGGCACGGAGAGAAGCAATGTTTCTGGGTGGAAACCCTGGCTGTCTCAATTTCAGATTGTATTTCCTGCACAAATTCCTTTCCGGGTGTCTGACAATTAAGTGAGGCCCAAATACTTCAGACTGACACTATTGCAGTCATTGTTTTCAGAGATGCACAAGCTACACCCAAAACCATTGGCATCATCTCTGAGGGACAATAGGTTAGAAACAAGTTCTTGTCTGTAGCAAATCCTGCTGCTTCCTTGATGCTCATCTGTATAGAGTCTAGTTCAGGGTTTCCATTTGTATATGTTATTCATAAAGCCGATTCTGTTGGATGTTGTGTTGCATTGATTATCAGTACATTTCTCTCTTAAAACATTCATAGAATCATAATAACCGCTTTCTTTTAGTTCCTTTTCTTGCCAGTTAAGGCCTTCCACGCCCACAGTATGAGTTTACGAAAAGGATTTTAGGTAACTCATCTGTGTAGATGCCCAAGCTGTATCAGTTTCAAAAAATTAATCTCCCCAGATTCCTTTCCGTGTATGTGAGAAGGAAGAGTCTGCACACAATTATTTAGACTGAAACTATTGCAAACAATATTGTTATCAACCTGCACCCAAAAACATTGGCATCATACTTGAGAGGTTATGGACAAGTTTCCGTGTTTAGCAAACAATGCTGCCATTCTCCTGGACTTCCTTCAATGTCTTGTAGCCACACCCACCCCGTCAGCTCACCTGGGGTCCTTGCTGCTTTTCATTTCCAATCAGATAGTATATAAGCCTGTCCTGCGCACTCACTCATTGCCAGATTGTTCTTTGAACTCAGGCAAAACTCGTCTGATTCCCGCGAAACCCGCCAGCCTTCTATCACTCACCTTGAGATCATCTTCCATCTTCCATCCCACAACTATACAGTGTGAGTACATATATACAAACTTGCTAGCGCATGGTTTGGCAAAATGCATTTACCTTTGTTTTCACCACAACTAAAGTGAACGAGTGCAGTTGCCATTTTTTTTTGTGGTTATTGTTTTTACGTGTTACATTTCACTTGTATTCAAAGCAGCCTCTCAAAACAAGTGGTGGAGGCCGCCGATGCATGCCAGCACTCCCAAGTGCCTTTTTACTCAGCGTGCATCCAGGGCGCCCCGATTTAAACGCTGCTGCGCGCAACGCTTGTCACGTGACAAGGAATAACCAATCACAGCCGAAATATATCTTTACTTCCATAAACACAGGTCTACGGCAAATATGGAGTATACGTTTATAATTATTGTTGAATGTTTAGGATCGATTTCATGCAGTTATTATGACAGTGTATATATATATTAAGTGTTATTACTAATTTTGTTAAAATTGTTTTTAATTAACCCTGTTGTAAAAGTTCTGTATACGTTTTGTGTATGGAAATCTAAATATAAAGTAAGCAGTAACTAAGGCTGTAACCAAGGCCGGATTAGTACCTATAGGGGCCCCTGGGCACTGAGAGCTCAGGGACCCTCAGCCCACGTAACAACACGCCTACCCAAAAGCACCAATATTTTAAATTTTCATTCAATCTGGCAGGTGTGTGTGTGTGTGTGTGTGTGTGTGTGTGTGTGTGTGTGTGTGTGTGTGTGTGTGTGTGTGTGTGTGTGTGTGTGTGTGTGTGTGTGTGTGTGTGTGTGTGTGAAAGTGCGTGGTAGAGAGAATGAGAGAGAGAGAGAGAGAGAGAGAGAGAGAGAGACCAGTTAATGCGGCCTTGGCTGTAACATAAATATAGTGAAGTAAAAAGTACAACATTTCCCTTTGAGTTGTAGTGGAGTAGAAGTATAAAGTGGCACTAAAATACTTTAGTAAAGTTCAAGTACCTCCAATTTGTAAGTACTGTACTTGAGTAAATCTACTTAGTTATTTTCCACCCCTGAAGTTTTTGTATCTTACAGACAGGTTACGAAAAATCATGTATTCTCAGAGAAGGAATATCCAATCAAAGTCAGGGATTTAACCAAGCTCTTCCCCATTGTTAATTCTTTAAAATAATAATATTCGTTCTTCTTCGTGAAAGGTCTTCATCATAAAGTATACATTCAAATTGCAGCTTTGATTTTATTAACAGTTGTATTAAATACGTTCAACCTTTACTTCCCATTGATCAAAGACATCATGGTCTTAATGTTGAAATCGAACTATTTCAATACACTTAGATCTGATTTTCATTTCTTAAATGATGCCTTTCAGAAATAACAAAGAAATGTGTTTTATGTTAAATATATTCTTTTAATGACTATCCTAGGTCTCATCCAGAATGATGAAACTCAGTGTTTTCCTTCTCATGCTCCTCATGGAGACGTGCTCAGTCTCCACTTATCGTGAGTATGAATTGTTTATGTAAGATGTTTTCACTATAAAACATAACAGGGAAGTGAATGTAAGGCTGTCGATTAGCAAGAAAAGCAGGTTTATACAAATTAAGTTTAATTGTCTAGATCAGTGGTTCCCAACCTTTTTGTCTCGTTCACCCCTTGAGCTGGTCTCCATTCTATAAGAGCCCCCTCACTCATCTGTGATGATGCGCCTACATTTTTTCTTGTTAAACCCTTATCTAATCGTATTTAACCAAACTGCTCCTTAGTTGATAAGTCACCCTTAATACAAATGCATTTAATCTTGACCTTTACACTTATTCTAGCAGTTTCAACATCTTTTGTTAAGACTAGAGCTTTTATTCAGACACTCGACCTTGCTTATCTTTCGTAAACTTTGATAGTTCTGGGGGCAGGACACCAAGCTTAATTAAATTGATTTTAAATGGTTTATTTTGTCCCCGTACCCCTGGTTGGGAACCACTGGTCTAGTTTATAGCTTTAGCTCCAAAATCCTTTGGATTGTGGAGGAAATATATTTTTTTCAGCAGTTATGTAATGCATGAAATATTGTAATCTCACTGCTCACATTAGATACTGTATGTTTTGCTGCTCCAATAACTAGTTATTGTTATTGTGGTAATACTGTTCAAATGTAACTGTGAACACATCGCCATGTAAGAAATCCCAGCAAAGCGACACAAACAAATACAGAAAACACATTCAATCTCCAATTCATCAGCACGTGTTCAGCGTTTGGAAATAAAACACTGCATAGACATTAAAACACTTATAAACATCTTTATCAAGTTGGCAACACGTGCATGCTGAAGCAACATGCTGCAAATTCAGAAAGCGTAACCCAACTCACAATGGAATAGTTTTTAATGATCACTGTTCACAGATCTAACATCAAGTCATCATTTACTTTCTGAGAAACATGCAGCATTTCTCTGTTTGTAATTTGTGTTTTTTCTATTTTCTGTTTTCTTTAGTTGTTGTGCGTTGAATATTCAGGACCAGTTATCTGTTGGAATACTATTGTAGCTTAAACCATTTTCCAATGTGTGTATTATAATTATATATTCAACTGTCTCTTTACTAGAAAACGTGGCGTTGCGTGGAAAAGCGACCCAATCAAACCGTTATGAGCACTTCTTTGGAGCTGCCATCGGCGCTATTGATGGAAACCGTGAAAATCACTTCCATTCTGGATCGTGCACACACACTGATAGATCAAGCAACCCCTGGTGGAGAGTGGACCTGCTGGAGCCCTACATCGTCACCTCCGTCATCATCTCCAACAGAGGAGACAGAGTTCCAGAAAGGCTTTTGGGGGCACAGGTCCACATCGGCAACTCTTTAGTCAACAATGGTGCATCAAACCGAGTGTAAGACATTTCCTGCACACATTTTATTCATTTGTTTTGTGTAACTGTCTGAGCATTTTGTTTATCTTCTCCTCTCCCCTGTTAATTGCACACCACCAGTAGACAGAGGTGTATTAAGATGCTTTACTTGAGTAAAAGTACAGATACCCTAGTTTCAAAATATTTCAAAGAAAAGTCCTGCATTCAAAAGGTTTCTTAAGTAAAAGTACAAAAGTATTATCAGCAAAATGTACTTAATGATTACATGTACATATGTATGTGACATTTCTAGATATATTCATGCATTAAGAGGCATTTTACAAGTTTAATTGTATTTATATGATTTGACTGTTTTGTGACTTAAAGAGTTCGTCCCCTAGTTTAATTGTTAGAGATACATTTAGTTAAAAGTAGCTAAAGCTGTTTAATGAATGTACTGGAATAAAATTACATTATTTCCGTATTGAAATGTAGAGGAATAGGAGTAGAAAGTTGAATTAAAAGTACCTCAGAATTGTAAATGTACTACCCACCTCTGCCAGTAGATTCTCATAGAAACTGTTCCTAAATGATTCAACCATGTAATTTTACTTATTTGCATATCAAAAATAGAGGCAATGCTGAAGTGCGTTAAACTTGCATCGTCTTTCATATCTCGCAGTGGGTTGCAAAAAGGAAATTAAATTACCAGTTACCTTTTATCTAACTGTTGAAGCCTTAGGGGTATAATATGTCATTCATGTTCTTCTTTCTTTCTCACTTTTGTTCTCTTTCTTTAAGGGTTGGTAGAATTTCTAGAGTAGAGTCATTGTACCGTATGACTTTCACTCATCGTGTGGAGGGACGCTATGTGACTGTGCGTATACCGGGTAATGGAAAGTACCTGAGCCTCTGTGAGGTGGAAGCAAGCTGCAAACTCTGGGGAAGAGCCGGGACGCCAATACGGAAGTGCCACAAACTGCAGTTCATATATTGGCCGATAGGCGATGACTGCAGAAAGGAGCAATTTCCATAGACCCCCATGTTAAAATGCCCAATTTCACAGCAGAAAAAAAACGTTTCTAGCCCTGGATGCAATAAATATTATTATGTATATAGTTAGATTCCACCTTCATGATTATGAATCTGTGAGTGAATTGTTTTCTAACATGACCCTTTTATTTATATTAGGTCTTAAAGTTTTTGCATAAATTAGGGCGTGGTCACATTGAGTGACAGCTCTGTCAAGTGACTGCTGCTGTTAGCTTCTTGTCTCTCTGCTAGCTGCTCCGTCTCCGTGAAGCTACAGGGACTCTGCCTGCTCAGTTCATCCAGGGAACACAACTTGACCCCGGCCGTGTTTGTTTGTTCTTCATGCTTATATATCGGACTATTGTGACTCGCTCTGCGGTTAAAACAGACGGTGCATGAATGCCGTTTTGCGGTAAGTGTAATTCGAGTACTTTATTTATGTGTTTATGATTTCAATTAGCTACGTAATAAATGTTAAGGCTTGGGTTAGCGTGTAAGCGAGTGGTAGCTACATCGGTGCTAACGATGCTAATCTTAGCCTCCAAGTTAACTTAAAACCATAGACTGTATATATAAAGGTTAAAACGAAATAGACAAGTGTTAAGCGTTAAGTGGGATAATACTGTAGAACAAAAGGCTTCTGTTTGAGGTTGATAAAATAAGGTCATCCTTGTAACTTAGAGAGATATTTTATTATGTAGGTAGGAACTGTATGCATCGCTAAGGTTAATTTAAATTGGCTATGCTCAAGTATGTAGACAAGCTAACGTTGAAGTAGTGTATGTGAAATCAACCTCACAATAAGATGTGTGTATATTACAATTATTAATGTCATATTTCAAGATGATTACTTTGATATTACAATATGGTTGGTTGAGCTGGAGTTCATTATTGAGCTTACACGTTAACATCACAGTCATCTGAAGAACGAACCCAAACCTTGTTGTTTTTATTAATTGCATTACCAAATTGGTATCAAATAAACAGTAAGCATTGGTAACACAACTTCCAAAGTTACAGTAAAATAAAAAGGACCCTGACTCGGACAATACACAATCCAACATGTTCAACAGAAGATAATAAGTTATATTGTTTGTACACATGGTTCTTTACATATATATCTGTTTGTTTAAAGTGTCCAGGTGATGCAGACAGGATGGACCAGAGAGTGAGAGACAGAACTGGACTCC